ACCAAAAAGACAAAAAGACTTATTTGGAGAAAAGAGAAAAGGTCCCTGCTTATCGTTCAAAGCAAATGAAACAAATGCAGTTCTATTGCAAGAAGGAGTTTTCTTCAACTGACTTGAACAATTATGCACTTCCTTTAGCCCAGATATGCCACAAGAATAAATGTTGAGTAAAATTGGAATACGTTGAAGGAAAGCTGGAAGAATGAAGGTACACGGGGCTGAAAAATGCCTTTCCTAAATTTCTGAGCTTATTCCACTTTGCCCACAGAATGGAGGCTGGAAGAAACCAAGAAACAGCGTCTCTCAGGCTGCATTTACTCTTTTGTATTGAGAGCACCAGTTGTGCAATGGAGTAGCTAATAAGGAAGGGAAGAGATGGTGGGGTACAAAAGAGGATCAGGACCCTCTCTTCAGCTGTCAGACCAGCATCTGACTTTTTGTACTGCTCTGTTACTTGTTGAAATCATAGCAATTTTTCCTTGCAAAGGTGAGTTTGCTAAACACAAAGAATGAATGAAAAACACTACTTTCAGGCATAAAGCCGTATGTCACACGCTCCCCTCACCAGCTGAGTTTCCAATAGCATATGCAACACACATATTTGCCTTTTGGCTTAAATATCACTTTTCCTCAGTTAAATCCACCTTGTGAAAACATGACAAATATGAATCTTTTATATTCTTCTGTGCTTCTTTGGACGTCATGATACAGTCTTGTTCATGACACAAAGCAAAACAAGGTTAGAGCTACAGAGATTTTTCCTCCTAATACTCTTTTATCTGTGAACATAAATAAAAGAAAAGCAAAGCAATGAATAGCTTTATAGAATAGTTTCCTCCAAAGGGGTCTTTATGTCAAAGAAAAAATGGAAGATGAGATTAAGCCTGTGTGATTACACCAAAAAGATACTGTGACTTTCTATTTGATTGGTAGACTGTGCTGCAAAAGCCAACATTAAACCTAGTTTAGAAAAATAAACACACAGGGAGGAATGTTTAGTCTGAATAACCTGACTGGCAGCCTCATGATTACATTTTTGGCATGTAGTTTTTTTCTAAATCTTCTTCAGGAGTTACATAAAAACTATTAAAAAAAAAGAAAGGCACCAGCAGAAAAACTGACATCATGAAAACAGCAACAAACCCAATAAAGATAAAACAGGCTGACCACAGTATAGTGTGTCCAAAAGCCCAGACTTTGAAAGTAAATTAAGATAAAAACAAAGTCTGTTTTTTTTCCTTTTCAAACTGTTCTACGCTCAACCCTCTTGACTTGTACAATTTGTACTTCTGAGCACAAGTCTTGCTGTTTCACATATTTTGTAAGAGGTTTTTTTATCCTAAGACATTAAAATTATTCCTGCTGAAGTCATTAATCAAGTCATTTAATAATTCTGTAGTTTAATTATTGAAATTATTGCAATCTACATTTAGCAAATGCAGCAGATGTTGGGGATTTCCAAGGTATATTATATGTGTATTCTCAGCAGTAGAAGAAACACAGTCTTCAGTCTTGTTGGCTCCTCCATGTCAAACAATGATAGGGAGAGAGGCTTTTTGGAGGTTTAACAACCCAAAGAGGATTTGGGACCCAAATTACTGCATCAGATCCTCCTCTTCCTCCCTACGAGGTAAAATGTCTTCAGCTCCTCAATTTCTGCTACAGAATTTTCAGTCAGGTTAAGTTCCTCACAATGTGTACATGCAGACCACAAAAACCTGGGAAGGACAGAATACTGAAACCAGTTTGGGGTATATCTGCCCTACCAATAGGGCTTGATGTTTTAGCTTAACCATACCTCAAGGGAAAACTTTATGTCCCTACACCTCCCTGAGATCCCAGTGGATGAGCATCAAAATGGAAAATCCTGGTTCAAATCCCTTTCTTCATCCTTATGGGTCAAGCCAGTGCCCTAGAACATCCTGGGCAGTGGGTCCTAAATGCCTCTGAAAATTCAACTTTGCATGGCCTAATTAGATCACTGGATTATTCTGTTTTGAAAAAATGTGGAAGAATATGGTAGAAAACAAAGATACAAAACTTGATCCCTCTCTAGCTGCTGAGAACAAGTTTAATAACTAGTTTATAACCACAGAATTGCTGGATTAATTGCTAGAGTGGCAATCTCCAGCATATGGGCCATGTATTGTGTAAAGTCCCATGCTAAAACTCAGGAAAACAAAACATGATGTGATCTGCAGAACATCACCTTGTCCAATACTAACTGTGCCTGTAGCAACCGATCTTGGTGTGCATGTTGGCTTGTTGGCATGGCTGTGTATCACACTCTTTGCCTCCCATCTCACTCCCTCTTTCTCCTGTGGAAATAAAACCCAGATTTGAGGGGGAAATGAGCATACAGTGGCTTCCAGGCAGACAGCCAATCTGCATGGTCAAATCCCAAACTACCAGTTGTGGTAGTCCTGTGCTGGAAAACTTGTTAAGTAACTTTCTTAGGAAAATCAGAGATCTCCACTTGCATTGTAGCACAAAGTCCACATTTTCAGGATACATTCCCACATCTATCTCTTATAAAAGGGAAGGAAGAGGGTTGATGGAAAACCGACAACATGCTGGAGACAACAGTATATGCTGCCCAGTACATTTTTAGGCACAGTAGGAATACATGCACAGACATAAATTATCAGAGAGAGAAAATGTCTGAGCATCAAAGCCGTGTTCAATGTGTGGGAAAGCCTCAATGTAGCTCAAATATAGCACAGTGAGCAGATGTCTTTACTACCATAAGCATACTTAGACCTCCCTGGATTCACAGCAACAGCACAGAATTACAGTCTCTTTCATTCAAAAATTATAGTAAAAATCTATGTCACCAGTCACCTTTTATATAAACCCAGGAGGCTACATCACCCACAGTAAGAGATCTGCACTAAAGACAGAAAGAAACAGGAGAAATTAAAGGAGGAAAGACGCAATTTTCATTCTTTCTTTTCAAACCACACTTCCTTATGTGGAAGAATGCAAAATTCCTTGTAGCCAAACTCAGGAGGTATAGACTGATGAGGAGGCTACAATAAGTGAATGTGCCTCAAAAGTAGCAATAACTCAATTGAAGTCTACCAAGTGGCTGGTGTTCCTCAGTGGTTGATACTGAGGCCGCTACTATTCAGTGTTTTCACCAGGACAATGAGGTGGAATGCACAATCAACAAGATCATGAATGGCATGAAATGGGGATAGCAGTTGATACACCAAAGGGCAAAGCTGTTATGTGAAGAGACATCAACAGGCTGGAAGAATAGACTGGCAGGAACCTCATGAAGTTCAGCAAATGACAAATGTAAAACTCCTGAATGTAATAAGCCTATGCAACAGCACAGACTCTACGCTGACTGGCTAGAAATAACTTTGCAAAAAAGGACCTGTGAATTGTTGTCCTGATAGGTAAAAAATGGAGTCTTAAGTCAACAGTGTGCCCTTGTGGGGAAGAAGGTCAGCCTCATAAGGTATTTACAAGAATGCAGCCAGGGCATCGAGCGATTGACTCTTCATCTCTATTTAGCAGTTATGTGTTTGCATCTGTCCTACTGGGTTTATTTGTGGGCCATAAAGTGCAAGAAACAACAAAAATATGGAGCAAGTTTGAAAGAAGGACCCCACACTTGTCGGGACTGGAGCACCTGACCTGTGAGGAGAGGATGAGAGACTTGGGCTGGTTCAACCTGGAGGAGAGGTGTCTTCAGGGACACTTAACTGCTACCTTCGGCTGCCAGAAAGGTAGCTGTACAAAATGTAGAGCCATTCTCTTTTCCTTGCTCCACAAAGAAGGTCTCTTCTCTAATAAAGAGACAATGGACACAAGTTTTAAGAGAAATTTCAATTGCGTGTACTGAAGAATATGTTCACAGTGAAGATGCTCAAACACCAAAGTCAGTTGCCCAGAGTGGTTGTGGAAACCCCATCCTAAGAGACGCTCAAAAGCTGGCCAGACACAGCCTTAAGCAACCTGACACAGCTTAAAAGGTAGCCTGGCTTCAGTGCTCCCTTACAACCTGATTTCTTTCCTATGACTTTATGATTCAGAGAACCCAAGAGAAAATGTAGGCAACAGAAAACCTGAAATCTTTATGTAATGTTCAAAACTTTCCTTGAGAGGCAATTCCTGGGAGGTGGTGAGCCCTGGCGTCTGCTTCCACACCTGATGGCAGAAGGGTCCATGCCTTAATCTCATGAGTTGAATACCAGCCCTACATAATCAGAGATAAGCGATCTCTGAACAATCATCTCCTACCCATAAAAATATCACAATTGTGGATGTTGTTTCTGCAAATAGGTAGTAGGAAAAGCTTTGGGTATGTATGACGGTGACTGACAGTAACCTCCACCTTACCAAATATATATCTTAAATGCTTGTTCCCCTTTTTCTGGAGAGATTTTCACAGCAAATTTTACAATATTTGGTTCCTTAAGCTATGAACCACAAATCAGCATCATGTAACGGTGAACGGTACTACACCCAGCTTGTGGCCAGTCACTTTTGGGGTTTCCCAAGGCTCAGTATTGGGACCAGTCCTGTTTAATATTTTTATCAATGATCTGAATGAGGGGATTGAGTGTATCCTTAGTAATTTCATGGATGACACCCCACTGGATGGGAGTGTTGATCTACGGGAGGATAGGAAGGTTCTGCAGAGGGATTTGGACAGGCTGGATTGATGAGCCTAGGCCAGTTGTATGAGGTTCAATAAGATGAAATGCCGGGTCCTGCACTTAAACCACAACAACCACATGCAGCACTGTAGGCTTGGGGAAGGGTATCAGGAAAACTGTTGAGTGGAAAAGGACCTGGTGGTGCTGGTCAACAGCCAGCTGAACATGAACCAGCAGTGTGCCCAGGTGGCCAAGAAGGCCAATGGCATCCTGTCTTGTATCAGAAACAGTGCAGCCAGCAGGACCAGGAGAGTGGAGTTCTTTTCCAAGCTTAATAATTCCATGATTCTATGACTTCATATCGAGTTTCTGGAAATTATCACTCCACATCTACCCCTCTGGCTGTGAAACAGCTCCCCAGACAGAGTCACAGAAAACTGGGAGGTAAAGGTGTTAATAAATACATAACAGCAGTAATCAATATGAATACAAAACAAGGTAGCAGGAGAAGCAGCTACCATGTTTAATCCCTCTTAGGACCCTTCCTCTTGTAGACATTGTAGGAGAAACTGTGTAAAAATAATGGTTGGCTTAAAGTTTTGTTGAAAATATTATCTAAAACCTCACTGAGTAGGTCTACTGTGGGCACATTTTGCTTTTTCAACTTTGCCTCAATTCATTGGACTCTTGGATGGACAGATAGTGGAAAAAATTTCAAATAAAACCCAGTGTTGATTTAATATGAGAAACTACTATTAACTCTTATGAACAGGACACTAACATAAATTCTTCATGGTAATGTAATTTAAAACAATTTTCTTTCCTATTTTAAAGCTGAATTTCTGGAAAACAATATTGAGGTATGAAATGTTCCCATTTTATGATTATTCTGAAAGTATCCAATTAGATTTTTCTGGCAGATTTACTGTTTTTAATTAGAATCAAAAGTGCAGACTAAAGTCATAGTTATTAAAAAATGTAATATTTTCATTAATATTTTAATAGAGGCATCTGAAGCAGTAATTTTGCCCAGAAGAATAGGTCAGGTCTCTGAATATTTGATTTCAAATACTAAATAGAACCAAAAATATTGACTTAAATATAAACCACCAAGTATATCAACTAGGTAATGCCTTGAAGAAATATACTGGTGTGGGAGAACAGCAAAACAAAAGAACCAGTTTTTATACTTTTATTAGACTGTTAGCAACAAATATATGGAATTCCAACTAAATGCCTGAAGTCAGGCCTCTCTGACAATTTCTTTTTGTAATTTAAATAACAATATGTGATTAATGTAGCATTTCCTAAATGGATACTAAAACTACTTCATCTTTTTGACTAATCTCTTAGGCATACACTGCAGTTTGCACTGAAAAAAAAATCAGGTATTAATTTACTGGGCCAAGAGTACATCCCACTCCTAGTTAAAATGCATACTCTGTGCACATCCATTGGTTGTAACACATTGTGAAGAGAGGAAATGGTTCTGAGTTGCACTAGTAGCAAAAATATCCAGTCTCTTTCTCCCCTTACCCATCATTACTTGTCACACCTCTAAAAAAGCATATGGAGTTGTGGGTAAAATTTAGTCTGCCAACTCAATATGAAAAAAATCAGAGGACTTTCACTTATTGCTGCATGAACTGGTTTTCCAGTCTCTATTTACATCATAAACAATATAAATTCAAGCTGAGTTTTCCTCATTTTTTTTTCAAGTATATTGAGCATTTGAAGACCTTTATAAAGAAGCCAGTCACCAAGTACATGAGTGAGTGCAGCACAGCCCAAAAGTACTACCTTGTCCCCTGAAACAGTGTGACTGTGACACTCTGACCCAGGCAGTCAGAGGTAGCTGCCAGCTTTCTCTTGGCAAGGCTGACAGTTGGCTTAAGTATCTATCTCTGTGTTGTGCACCATGACGTAAACATGCCCATCATCACACCTGGCTGGAGTTGCATTCTCACAGTTTTCTCACAAGGTTGCACCTCACTCCAGCCACTCTCAGCCACTGAGTCTGCAGCTGTGTGGCTCAGGACTGCTGGTGTTTTTCCTGTCACCCCATGACATATCCCATATACAAGAAACTTGATTTATATTTCCAGTCCCTGTATCAAGACTGATAATTGTATTCAGACAGAGCAGATCACAGTAAGGCATCCGTATGTGATTCGGAGATGACAGGAGAGGGAGAACTGCCTGCTCTAAATGTGGTTTCTAAATTCCAGTTCATCACTTAAAGGGGCAGTACCCAAGTTTTAGCTGGGTTACGGTTTAACTTACAGACATTATTAGTTTTTTTTCTGGTAGGTTAGTGAGCTCTTCAGGACCTCTGATTTTCTTCTCCCCAAAGTACTCTTTGCTGGTGTTTAAACCACCTTGGCAAGCTGGGTGAGCTTGACAGACTTCTATAGTGTCTTTCAGTACAACGTCTTTTCCACAGCATTTTGATATTTAACATATAGATTTAATTACCAGGGAACATAGAATCATAGAATCATTTAGGTTGGAAAATACCATTGACATAATTGAGTCTACTGTGTGAGAACATAAGATGAGAAATAAAGTAAGATGTAAAGTTTAAAGCATATTTGATTTCATACAGTCTTAAAAGCCTCAGGATTAGTGTGAAACCTATCTTTTAAATACTTCTCTCTGTCCACTCAGTGCACATCAGTGTAATGCTTGGGCTAACATATATCGTTGGACATTGTGCCTTTAATCTATGCTGTATGTTGAGCTTATCTACCACACCATGAACCAACACTGTGTTTCTTCAGGTGGGGTTAGCTCCCAGCACCCCTCTCTGGCAGGTGCCCACACCAAACTGCAGGGCAGGACAACAAGTCCTGTGTTAGGAGAGACCAGGCAAATACCACAAAGTTGTAGCATTGACTCTGCATCTCAGACCATCATCTTCACTGGCAAGAACAGCCAGCTGGCATGGACACAGTTTTCTGATTAAAATCTTTCTGGCTGCACAGTGCCATATGGATGTGTATGTGTTGATCTGCCCTAGGAATTGCTGGGGTGTTCCTGAATACGTGTTTCTGGGTTCAGGAGGTGGTCCAAAAAGGAGCAGCTGTGCTCAGTCAAGAGCTCGATTTGGAGTGCTCTTGACAAGTGGAAGTTGCTACAAGAAATCCACTATCATCCATGATTTGTTTGTCTTCTTTCTGTGTCTTCCTTGGGAGCACCTCAAAAGCTAAAATTGTGTTTACATATCTCTGTTCCTCCTTGACAGTCTCCTTATTCTTTTGTAAACTAGCTCAGTGTGGCACAAAAATGGCACGATGCAGGAGCATGTCTAATAACCCTAACTTTGCCTATCCATAAAACAAGTAATATAACAAATGGCAATTTTTTCTTCTGTCTCTCTTTTTGAAAATAGTACTGGAAAATCACATACATTCTCTGTTTCAATTAAACAACATACAGATGCCATCAAACGACCCAGAAAAAGACAGCAGTTTACTGGTATCTCTGCTAGCATCAGAAAAACCTAGTCTTTTTCTAGTCACGGCTTAACATGTAGTGCCTGGAAAAGGACAGATGGGATAGACAGGGTTGATAGGGAACCTCAAGAACCACAGAAAAGATTAAGAAGAGTTTTCCCTTCTGACCTCTTCTCCTCCATTTGAAGGTTTGGGTTCATCACCCTGAGCTTCTCTCAGACCCAGATACCTATAGCAGTTTTCCCACAATACCTGCCAAAGACAAACACATAGTCTTTTAATGGCTGGAGCAGGTTAAAAGGGAGAGGAAGGTAAAATCTTTCCTTTGGCCTGTGAGGCAGGGATTGAAAATAATCTCTCTCATACTTTCCAGGTCAATGTCTTAGTTGTTGTCTGTTTTCTCTCCTTTCATTTTATAAGGTTAAGTTAGTCTGTTCAAAATGAGATCTAGTTAAAAAAAAGAGACTAGGAACCTCTTTCTCTACCCTGATTATCAGGGTAGCTAATAGTTCAGTGACCAGATGAGATATGAAAACTGAATTTCCACAGAGAAAACAGGGAGTAGTCTAGAGATTTCATGTGTTGTGTGACTGCTTTCACTAGAGCGCAATTGGACTCAAAAAAAAAAAAAAAAAAAAAGATGCATCTTTGCATAATTCCCATCCTGGTTGGACCTTTTCTCCAGTCAGATGATTCACTACACCCTGACCAGCCTTGAACACTGAATATATTTGTTCAAGTCTTCTTCACAAGAGCAAATTTCTCCATATGCTTAGTGCTATAATACAGTAATGATCAAAAAAATCTCATGAAGGAAAACCATTCATGAGAGTATTTTCAAAAAACATTCTGCTGTCATCATGCTAATCCTCATTTTTAGGTCTGAAGTGTGTGAGAAAGGCTGAGCAGTTCTGTTTAATTAAAATAACATAATTTTGGAACAGCAGGCAAGCAATAAATAGTATAAAAATAAACCAGATGACAAAACAAAAGAACAGGCTCATATTTGTCACCAAATCTGATTTGTACCTTTACTTGTAGTTTACCCTTTTTAAGTGTTTTTGCACTGCTGTTATATGGGATGGATGATATCAGATCACTTCATGAGCAATTTTTGCACTACACAGCATAATAAACAGCTCCCAGAACATACCAGAGAGACGCATCTTCTTTATATTATTTTCATGTCAAAATTAATTCTTGCAAAAATAAACTGTTAAGAGAGCCTTACAGAAACAATTCTGAAATAGTGTGCTGTGAAAACTGTAATCTTATTTCCTTAAATTAACTGTTATCTTTTTAAAAAATCAGCATTTTCTTCTAGATGGGGAATCTGCAACATTGGCCAAAAACACCTAAGCAATTCCACAGTCATTTCTTTGACTTCTTGAAAGTTGTTTTTATCCCTCATATTGCGATTTCTTTAGCATACAATGGAAGGAGTAAATGTCATTCCTGAGTTATTCCCCACACCGTAGAATTTTTGATAGTCTCAGTGGGAGCAGGTTTGCTTTCAAGTAATGTATTTCTGTACCAACACAAACTATATTTGGATATTGCTCTTGTAAATTGCGAGAGACGAAACCAGAAAACTTTACATGTGATACCCATTTTCTTCCAGTCAGATCACTGGATCTACCAAACTGCTAAAAAAATACAGCCAAAATTCGTGTTACCCTTGTGAGTATCAATATTGATAGGATGGAGAACTTATTTCCAAAGGACTTCAGATAATGATGGGAGGTTTCAATCAGTCCACAAACTATTAGACTAAGTCGTCTTTCAGCAGAAACATTTCATCGCACACAAAGCAGCCTCTGAAACTCTTCAACCTACAGAATGGCATGTTCATGCAGCCCATAAGAAGCTTTGATTTAATTGTGTGGGCTGACAGTCAGGAGCTACATACACGGTTCACTTGTTGCCATAGAGGTGGCACGACTGCAAGAGGAGCTGGTGAGTAAACAAGCACAGTATGCAGCCATCTCGCTTTAACCTGCCTGTGTGTGTCCAAATCAACACCCACACTCACAGAAAGAAGGCGAAAAGAAGAAGAAAAATAGCTTTTTTAGAATGAGATCCTTAGTTATTTCCCATCTGGTAGGAAATGCCTAGGACCATGCAAGACCTGATGGCACTTCTGTGCAACTTTCTCGTTGCTTTCACAGTGAGTTAAGTCAGCATGCGGGCTGGATTGCATCTATTCTGATATGTTATGACATAAACTCACTGAAAAAAGAAATAGAGAGCCACTATTTAATAGGGAGATTGATCTAATGGAAGACTTTTTGCCTAAAATTTTGGTTTTAACTCTTGTACTCCCACTATGTGTATCAGCTGGGCAAGATATGTCTTCATGCAAAATTCGAGCCCTGTCCAGCCAAGCATATGGTCATCTCTTCTGCTGTGATTTATTTTAACTGCTTTGTATCAATATTAAACAAGCTCCTTAACACTGTTGCAACAAGTGAAGATGTGATTAAGAAAATGGCAGTTTTTCCCTAATACGCTGTCATTACCTAAAAAACTGTAAAGGTTGTGTTATTGCTTTCATGCAATTTAAGATACCATAATATACACATTATTTGATATTTAAATCTTCCTCTAGCTTTTATAAGTGCATTTGTCAGGTTACAACTTAAAAATTCTCTTTACTGTGAAGAAAGTTAATTCATTGCACTTCACTGAAATCTTGAAATTAGTGGAGTCACTTTTCTGAAAAGTTGCTACTTTATCAGTTATTTGTCTTTATTCATGAAGACTGAGTATAGTCAGGTAATTTTATTTTTAAACCTTCAACCTCTGAAAATTAGTCATTTCATACACCCTCTTCTGTCTCACGTAACATATATTAGCTTCTTAAGAGAATAGTTCTGTTAAGAATACCTCCTAATATCACCTAGATACATTTCCTACATTTGTTTATGCCAGTGTTGGGAGAATTAAGTTTTAAATGTATGACTATGTGTCTAGTCTAAATATGACTAAGAAATGGCATGCATTTACATAGCCACAAGATACATGATACATTTCTTCTTTGATGTAAGAAGAGAAAGCCATGAAATACTAAATGCGAACTTTACAGACCCAAAAATTAGATGGCTACATTACTGTTTTGATTTTGAAAGAGTAAGTTAAATTAGCTAACAAGGAAAAATTACCCTTTACTGACACATGCAAGTCAGTACAAAACTAACATTATTTTCCTTTCTTTTCTTTCTAAGAAGAGAGACAAGGCTAAGCCCTCTCTTTAACCTTCTGGACCCTCAGAAATATCAGCTGTTATATGAGCTGGTTTCATAATGATACTTCTGTTGGTAGAGCTTCCAGTAGGAACTTCTCAAGGGAAAGCAACACAACACACCTTGCATCTATGCTCCTGCTTGTCCAGGAAGGGTAATCAAGTACAGCATTTCCAAAGTGGATTGCTTTTTTGTTTTTCCTTTGTGGGTTTTGTTTTGTCCTTTGAGAACTGTATACCACTTCAGGTGAAAATAAAACAAAATTCACTTTGCTGTGTCTGAGGGATGGTGAAGTGTAAGAAAAGTTTGTCTATTTTGAGTAAGATTCAGAAACCTGAATGGGAACTGGGCAGAGCCTATCAGTTTAAAACTCCAGACTCATTTTAGGGGTGAAAGTTATGGTTATGTTGCCAAATAGCATAGACTGGAGACTGTTGTTTACTGTGCAGCCAGATGATACTGGAATGTGACAGCTAAATTCCCTTCCTCCACAGGAGCCCAGCTACAGAAAGGTTGCCATTGCCAGCTCCATTTGATGCTGCCTTGGGACAAGGTAAGTCACCATGTCTGCAGCAAAACCACACCAGCAGCACTGTCTAACAACACCTCCTCCTTGCTGCTATTTTACTAAAACAGATTTATAGATGTAGTCCTACAGATCCAAGCTACAGGACTGACCCTAAGCTCTTCTCATGCTAATATATAAATCCTACTTCCAGAAACCAACATAGCATCTTACTGGGAATTTTACTAGGTGATAGGATGGAAAAATGTCAAGTAACCGGGGTGGTTGTCAGACCTGTTTTCTATTCTTTTAATTTCTATTTCAAATGAAAGTCTTATCTCTTAATAAAACATCACTTATCCTGCCTATATGCATAAGAATCACTCAGCAAAAGAAGGGTAGAGTGTGCCTGGAAAAGTTATTTCTGCCTTTGAAACATTAGGATTTGGAGATGGATGACTTATCAAGAAACTGTTTTTTCAACTTCTTTTATTTCTCATCTAAGTCCACAATTCCAGCTGCTAGCAAAAGATGCATTAATGATATTGCACCAAAAAAAAGAAGACTGACTTTCAAATTTTCTTTTGTGGCCTGAAAACAATGTATTTCTTTTAAAAGAAGTTCATTTTCACTTCAGTTTCTTAAATTGCATAAATTGCTTTATTATAAAGGAAACAACAACACTCTTGATCATGAAAGGTGATTATCTGTGAGAAACTCTATATAAACTCAAAGGTTACATTTTGAGATGTCCAGGTTACAACCACTGTTGTATGCCAGCTGTAAGCAGGCATGTAAGTACAGAAGGTGTTTCTACACCCTTACTGATGAGGTGATGCATTCTGAAGGAGGGCTGCTAGAAGAATGACAGACGTGACAATTATCTATTCTAAAAAGTGCTGCAAATTATGAACTGTCAATACACACTGGACAAAGTTTGCTTGGTACAATACAGTCAACATAAAAAATTCGGTTCTATTAATCCACAGGAAAAATTTGATTTTTTTACAGTCAAAATATTTTATTTAATATTTTTGATGCTGAATTTAAAAAAACATGTTTAATTAAATTTAATTGGATACAATGATGAAAAATTCAAACGGCATTTCAATTATTCCAGAATAGAAAACTAATTTTTAACCTGAACATTATTTTTTGGGGAACAGGGAGAAAAGAGAAGATAATTTATAAGCAAAAGATAAGAAATCTCTTCATGTTAAAGGATTGCTCCTCTGTTTCACCACTGATTAAATAATAAAATAAAATTTTACGTTACTGGGTCTGGTAATGAGCCTAAGTCATGCTATTTCCAAGAATAATGAAGGAGAGCAACTCCTGGTCCTTAATCAAGACAAACCTTGCTTTGTTCATGTAAATCTGCATTGATTTTTACTCTAATCTGTGGCAAAAATAGTTAAAGATCAATCACATCCTCAGATATATTCCTGTTATCACTTACTTTAAAATGAGTGTAAGCTAATGTTTAATTTTTATTTCCATATGTATTTAGTATATTTATGTACTTATTTAAGCCATACAGTCATTATTATAGTGTTTTAAAAATGAAAGAATTAAGATCTTGTGGTCATGAACGTAAGTTGCAAAATAAACCAAGAGGGTAAATAAATTTATATGTTGATAGACTTTTGAATTAAATGACTCTTGCTAAAAGCACTAGATGCAAAAAAGACAAAAAACTAACTGCCAGCATCAGTGGTGCTAGTGATTCAAAGAAACCCGTAATATGTAAAGCATATATGTAAAGCAGACTTTTATTATGGTCAGGGGATGCAGAGGGGTTTCATCCCCCCCTATGCATTCCGCTGAGAAAAGAAACACAACAGCTTTTTATACATTTGGAAGGGGTGAGTTTCAAAAATTATCTATCATATGCACTCTTTGAGAATTGGTACAAAGTCTGCCTTATCTAAATAGACATTGGGTTACCTATCCTCTATTTTTATTTTTATAGAGTAGTTACATAAAGTTTTATTATTTCAAGCAGTTGTTTTCCCCACCCCTCTCCTATCTCCCTTGCAATGCTATGTGCTAAAAGCCTTTCTTTTCCCTCTTTCCCTGTCAGTCCCCTATCTTATTTGTTTATGTAAGTTAGTTCCCCTTTATCTTAACTGCCCAAAACTGTGCACTCTTCTATTTGCAAGTGGTTACAATTTGCAAAGTCATATTTCATGCTAATTTTCAACTTATGTGGCTAAATTTTTATTTTATTTTGTCTTGTCTTTATTTCACTAGGTGAATGCTTGACTTCCTGATTACAATGAATCACTGGTGATAGTGGGTTTTTTGAAAATTTTTTGTTCCTGAATTATTCTTCCATGTTGAAAATGCTGTTTGGTTGACATATTTCATATGCAATTATTTTGTCTACTGGTATAGAGATCATTTGCCCCAGGAAAACATCTCTAATTGTAAGTTGGGCTTTTTCTAGTATGTAAGTAATTTTTCTATAAATCATATTGACTAGACTAATATTGGTGCGTTTTATTTTTAAAGCTTTACACAATGTCTAATTTCTCTCCATTATTCATAACTTTTGATCCACAAACCTTCTTCTAGTTGCCAGTGAATGTCATTTGCAATCTCATAGGGCTTTCTAAATAATAAGTCTGGAAAATTAGCAGCTCTTTAGCTAGTGGAAGTCATTAAATGTTCAAGACATAGCAGAGATTCACAAAATGACACATTAATAAACACTCATAACATAAAAAACCTTTAATAAGACCTAGCTGAGCTGCATGAATATAATCAACAACCTCCCACTGCTAACAATACTTAGTTTGAAAGACCTTCCAAGTATATGACTTTGTCATATCATACGTTCAATTCATGTAATTGGAAAAGAAACAAAAATATGAATAATTATCAAGAGACTTACTGGATGTGGCTGTTATGTTCTTAATAGTACTTTAAAAAAAAAAAGAAATTAAAAGCTATTAGTATTTTCAATATTTGGAAAACAGCATGTCTTTGGTCGCAGATTTTGCCTTCTCTTCTATGCCAGCTAGGTCTTATTACTGTTGTGCAAATACCCAGGAATAGTCTGGAAAAGAAAGAGTGGAGAAGATTGATGTTTCACTGGCTCTGTGTTTCTGAAAGCCATTTTTTCAAATCTTAGAATAGAAGGACTGTTGTGCTCCATAAAGCACATATTGCTTTATCTTACTGTCTCCCATGTAAGAACTGGCTGCATGATCAGGGAAGACTGAGATATCTAAGACCCAGTCAAAATGGTAGCAGACTCAGACCTGACATTTTATCCTGGAGTATTTTTGTATCTGAACCACATTCACAAGAGTTTCTAGTTTCCAGCCTAAATTATTCCATTACTAACTCTCATAGCTTAACTTCTCCTTAACACCTCTGGGGTGAGAAAAAGGTTTGAACCAAATGTTTTTGAGGAGCGGTCAATCATTATAAAGAAGAGGCAAGGAGTAATGGCAGAAACCTGAAGAAATCTATTATTCCAAAAATGTTTGTCTCCTCTTCCCATGCATCCTTGCTAGTGATGAGCTAGTTTTGATGGACTTAGTCCCAGGTTTCACTTCGCACTTCTGCAACCCTCTCTTGTGTCACTTTGCTCAGTCTCAAAGGACCCTGAGGGAGCCTGCTAAAGAGCTGTGTGCTAAGACACTCTGAAAGCGAGATATGCACAAATTCATAGAGTAAAGCAACTGTTGGTTATCATTCCCAAAGGCTACAACTCTAAGCTTTAGCATGCTAACCACCCTGAAGAGACACCTGAAGAGGATTTGTCATTCAGAAGGTGCCAGTCAGGAAGGAAAGAGGCCAGCCAGGGTCAGGGCCTCTGCTGCTGGATTTGATCTTGCATACTCATAAGCTGCCATCTGCTGCTGAGTCCACCTTTCTCCCTTTAGGGTTTTAGAATCATAGAATATTAGATTTTTTTCTATCTTAGCATTTTTTTCTATTGAATCTGTCAGCTGCCCACAAACATCCTACTCCCCCACCTCCCCATCTATCTGTAATTTTGCCCTTCTTATTTTGTACAGTTCTCTATACAGGCTTTTATTATGGCCTTTTCCAGAACTTAGCTACTTGCTTAGAAGTCTGGGGCAAATTTTTACAATGTGGACATGTCGGAAATAGTTCTGAACCACAGGAAGACAGGTAGTGGAACCCATGGTGGGGGTGGCCACAGAACAAGGGGGTTGTGTTTCTCTTCCAGTGTGTCAAGCTAATTGAGGATTCGGAAGTTCTTCCTCTGCTGAACAAGATATTTTACTTCACTAGCAAGTGTCTTGCAGGAAGATAATCTGTGCTCTGTTTTTGCTTCTGAATGTAACTGAGAATAAGTATTTCTCTATACTCTTAATGGTGCAGTTTGGTCCTAAGTATACATCAGAAATCTAGATGCATTTCTGCTATCACCCCGACCCTAGAATTTGGGAATAGTTGCACTATTCTTTGAACCAGTTCCCCACTTTCCAGTTTCTGATATATTTCAAGACAGTGCCCCAATTTTCTTGTTCCAAGCTGACACCATGACTTTCTCATGTGACAGCTTTCACGGATGCTTTCCTGCAAATACATTAAAACAGGTCTTATTGAAATCTCTAAAGGGAAAAAAGAATGACCTTGAAGAAAACAGGGTCACAAACAGAAAACACCCTGCTTGTTTTATAATGACACAAGTGCTTGCACATTTTCTCATTCAAAATCTAATCACAGCACTTTGTGTCAGTCAAGGAAGACTGCTTGAGGTGGATTCAAAACACCACCTACCCACCTACTCAGCATTTAAATTTACTTTGTGCTGTGCATGGGAGTACAAAATAAATGGGTATTCAGTTAGTATTTTAATGGCTCTGGGATCTCTAACAGACACAAAGGAATCTCTCACTGTCTTTGCATATGGTGTCACATATATGTTGAACAGAAACAATCTAGAGTCATCAAAATGTTCTTTCCTTTCTGTGCAACTGAATGTGGAAGCTTCAACATTATGCAAAAATGTTGATTTAGTATCCATGCTATTCATCACTCACAAAAGGGTCTGATAAGTTTACTGACATGCATAGAAAGATTTCCATTTTCTTCAAGAGGTAAGCATCAATATTGCTAAGTAATGACTAGTTTGAAAAAAAAATGGCTACCAATGACAGCTGGAGTATTTCTGAAGCTGAAGTCTGTTCTTGACAGAAATTGATTACTTCTAAAGCAATTATGATAAATAAAAAATACTGAATTCAGAAAATGGAGATGTTGTTAGCCTGATGTGGCCCACAAAACTGGAACATTTAATTCAAGGAAGTAATACACAACAAAAGAAATTACCCTTCTGTGAATCAATTGCAATTATGTGTACAGTTTTCTACAATGCTAATCAATTGCTAAGGAATTAAATATAAAATATTGTGCTTTTTACAAAGGGACACTTTCATCAGTATTCAAGCAGAAACTTTCTGGAAATAACTAGTAATTTCTAGGTGGGTCTGAATCAAAGCCTAACTCTGAATACCACCAAATTTTGGCTAAAGACGTTGTGAATATTATCTCCTTTCCTCAGGGAACAATCCTGTCTGTCTTTGCATTTTGAAGTTCTCTTCTCTGTCCTCAAATTCGTTTAATTAGCTCCTGCAAACCGAAGATAAAATGAGTTGCAGAGCTGTCTCATCAAAAAGCAACTTTGGTCAATTTAGGTCATTAAGACCGTATCAAACTTTCTCATTACTGCTGTTCTCAGAGTCTAGATATTAAGGGAGCAGGAGGAATTTTTTCAACCTTAGGATATAACGGTAAGGCTGTATATCAAGGAAATGAGTCCACATTAACTGAAATATAACAACATCTTTCATCATTTGGGGCCTGAAGTGAGGTTCCTAGACTCCCTGTGCTATCACACAAAGAAAATCAGGGGCCTAAGATTGGGTGTCAACATATTCTTTCCAAAGTATTGGAAAAATCCTACCTAGTTTGTATGTGAGGCTTTTCAGGATGTTTTTTGACGTTAGCTTGATACTTCTCTGAGGAGCATTTTTATTACAGATTGTGCAGGCTCTGGAGTAAAAATCTTTCGTCATATCTTTGGTCAGACTGTTATTTCACAGTACCTGGACACACTAAAATAACAGCCAGAGAAACATAGAGTAATTTAGATCTAGAAATAGCAGAGCTGCCGTGGTAGGATACTATATCTGAGCAATTAAACTGTGTTACATAGTGTGTGCCATGCATGAAGAACTAGACCTAGTAAAAATGACTCTTAAGAAATATTAGACTAGGCATCTAGCTTTCAGATGGCTAAAGTTAAGGTGGAATTTATCCCAACTTGATTATCAACTCCAAAATTACAATCCTAACCTATATACTGGATTCAAAATTACAGTCCCTGGTGTCCTACCTAAAGGCACTGGGAACCTCACCTTGCACCAAGAAGTTCTGTAAGCATCTTGAGGCTATGGCTGCTCCCTCTGAGCGATTCACCCAGTTGCCATATCACCTGAAACTGATCCCCACAACAGGTCCAGGGCAGTGCACAAAAGTAAGTACTAAGCACCATACATGATGTTACAGAGACTTTGTTTCAGAAATACTGCAGTTCCACCAATAATTACAACAAAAATTATGGCACTTTGAAAGAAAAATAGTTAACCATGGAAAGCGTGTCATAGTTTCTGAGTCTGCTCTATGATGTGCAAGGGTGTTTTTTTATGGGAAATAAACATTGGGTTTACTTTTGCCGATTGAAGGCTGAAAAGGACTTGTCAGTGACAGAGTACACTCTGTATTTTATGTTCTTAGTATAATAAAGTAGAAAGGGAAAGCTAATGCAGGAAGCATGTGCTGGCAACAAGACGTATTCATGGGAGAGAGAAAAGATGAAAATTCAGCCTCTTTCTAGAAGACATGTACCTGGCAGTGCTACATCAGTGAATCATAAGGAGATTTGAAAATTTGAAACCCTGATATGGAGAATGCTTGCACTTCTCGACAGTGTTCAAGAACAAGGCCTGTGTTTTCATTCACAAGCTAATGCAGCTGCTGTACCACTGCAATTTCCCTTCCTCTGTCCACAGCGTAGCTGTGTCCAACTCTTGCTTCAAAGGGATTTAACCATCAGCCAACTGCTCTGATCTTCTCAGGGGATTGAAGAATGATCTTTGCACTGTTTGCATTTCATTTTGGAGCAGAGGTGATCCTGCTGAACATGTCCTGTCACTAAGTCAGAGAGGCAACACGTGAATTATCTGGGGAGAATTTGCTCTGAGCATTGTCAAAGTATAGGATTAACCTTGCAGGTT